GCGAACGCCGCTTGCGTACTCGGAACAATAAATGACAAAATAACTTTCGACGAAATTTTTTACTTGTAACACTTGTATACTTTTTTTTTCAAAGAAGTCAATTAAATTGAACAAGGAATAAAAAGAGCGTATATACCGCACAGTTTACAATTGAAGCAGTAAAGTGAAGGGTGTGTGTCAACTAGTTGCCTCAACGGTGCATCCAGCGTTCCCGCGCTGAATCGCTAGGTCTAGTTTTTGTTTGAGAAATTTAAAAGCTAGTTTCTCACCCGTTAAGACTGTTATTCGCCTTGCAAGTTCTTTCAAGAAAACTGCAGTAGACCTACCAGCGCCACCCAGTGTTTCCATGGCAACGGGTTTGAAAATTACAGTGGAAGGGAGGTCTGAATAGTGGTTTCTTTTGCGGACTTCGGCCTCGGAAGCTGCATTGGCACCCGGAAGAACTCCCATTCGCAGATTAGAGTTTGCCAAACGACTTATACATGTGAAATCCCATGCCAAGGTCCGTCCTCGCTGCCATGGCATTAGTGTGTGTCCATCTGGTCTGCGTCCATCTTTGCGTAGTAGCCCGATAGGTTCTAGTGTGGAACTGATGCCGAGTGATTTTATAGAATCTTTAATGATCATGTTGCCATTCGAGTGTCTGATGAACCTGTGCTTGATCTTCGGGCAGACAAGTGCGTGTCTTCCATCTGTTGCTGCGACATAGCCACATTTGCACGTGTATTGTGCGGATACTGGGGCTCCTAGACGAAGACCAGCTGAAATACGGAACTCATCATCGGACAAAGTCAGACCCAGTGGACGAGAAGGGAGGACGTCCAGCCAAGCGCCTGAACCTACCGCGCGACAGCCGTGATAACGAGCAACGGAAATTTTGTCGGTACAATAGCTCAAAATGTTTGCGGATTGTTGTTCGTAGATAGGTTTTGTCCAAAATTTTTGAGCGCACTGGGGGGTTAAGTCTTCAAATCGGTGGTTGCTGAGAGACTCCCAGTGGTCGACGGCTTTGTTAAAAAGACCAGGATTGCTTATCTCAGGAGCATGGCGGTGCCGTAAATTTTCATTGGAAACAAAAGAAGCAACAAATGCTGATGAGCTGAGAGTGCTGGTTTTTTGAAGACCAAACCCTCCTTGTTTCGTGGGCAAGCAAATTTGACTGAAAGAGACATCGGAAATGATGCAGTTGAAGATTCTCTCAAGTTCAAGGCATACAAGTGTGTCGATTTCGTCGAGTAAATCTGTGTGTTTAAAGGCAGGACTAGCGCGGAGGACATACATAAGTTTAGGGACAAAGAAACAGTTTTTAATGAGAAAGAAAGCGGTTTGACATGGTAAAGAAGCTGTTCGCTGCAGGAGTGTCTTGAGTTTCGCAAGTTTGTCCATTAACTCTGCTCGAATCGACCTAGTGCCTAGACCAGCCCCAAGAAGTGTGCTGTCTTCGGCATCAACGCATTGAATAGTGGGAAATGTCTCACGAAAAGCTCTTTCTATCTCCTTTTTACTGCTCCCAAAAGCTGTCACCTCGCACTTCTTCTCATTCAAAAGAAGACCAAGTTTCTCACATGCTTGTTTGATACTCAGAAGATCATGGAGAGTGGTGCGCCATTCATCAGCAAAAGCAACGTCATCCAGGTATCCAGTTTTCAGCTTGCTCAAGAGGTTCTGCAAAGCAGGATGTAGGACAAGACAAAAGCCAAAGGTAGCCAAGGGATCGCCTTGCTGAAACCCTTCTGTTGATTTGATGATGAAGGCACCATATATCAAGAAACTGCTTTCTTCGTAGCAGAGTTTCACAAAGCTAAGGATCTCCGGGGCGTGTTCATTGATGGCTTTCAAAATGACATCACGTCTTACACTGTTGAAGGCGTTGGCAAAGTCAATTTTGACAAAGGCTTGATCACGTTCTGCGCATTCAATGAAATCGCGCGCTACATGGGCCGCCGCCTCACTCCCGTGTTTAACACCAGCTCCTAGCTGAAAAGGCCAAAAATAATTTTTGAATTTTTCCAGCATGCGCCGTGAAATGCATTTGGAAGTGAGTCTTCGCAAAGTGTCTCCAATCGCGATCGGGCGTATTCCTCCACATTTCTTGGCCAAAGAGATGAGTGTAGCACTGGAGACGACAGGCTTGATGAACGCAGGGATGTTGCCTGTCAACAATAAATTTGTGTAGTCTGTCAGATGCGAGAGCAGGTTGTTGCCAGCTTCGTTAGCAGATGGTGAAAGTGCATCTTTCACGTGTTGTGGTCTGAGGCCCGTCGGTCCACCAGCACGGGTACAGGACTTTATCCTCCACGGTAATTATCCTCCAGGCGATATCCTCCACCATTATCCTCCATTTATCCGCAATGGAGGATATCGCCTGGAGGATAATTACCGTGGAGGATAAAGTCCTGTACCCCTGTTTGAGAAATGGGTACAGGACTTTATCCTCCACGGTAATTATCCTCCAGGCGATATCCTCCATGGCGGATAAATGGAGGATAATGGTGGAGGATATCGCCTGGAGGATAATTACCGTGGAGGATAAAGTCCGTTTCCCCACCAGCACTACCTGCGTTAAAAGACATGACCGCTCTCCTGACTTCAGACTGACTAACTTGAAGTTGAACACGGTCGTTAGATGGGAGTGTAGCTTTGTCTGCGGATGCAGAAGGGTGTTTCGCATCGAGCAGTGTTTTGTTCTCAAGAGTCGGTGGCAAGAAAGTATCGTCGCTGGCTGCCAACCTGACAGCTCCCTTGATATCTCCTTCGTCAAGTTTGGCAGCAATCAGTTTGGAGTTGTCGTTGTTCCCAGAGCTTGCTGGTTTCTGCGAGACTGGAGAAGGCAAAGTGTACTCACCCCTGTTGAAAGCATTTATCTGTTGCTGTATGGTGCTTCCAAGTGAGGCTCTGACCTTCTTACCTGCGCGTGTAGGTTTGCGGAGGCAGCAAGAGGGCATGATCAGATAGCGACCCCATGCTTCCTTGCTTCCCGGGTTAGTAACCACCTCTTTGATGCATTCAGCAAACGTGGAGGCAAAGTTGACACGTGCGAATTTAGGGACAAATTTAACAGTAGGACATTGAAACTTAGTTAACAAATCAATAAAATCAGTTGTTTGAAAGTTTTCAAAATCTAACTCATGTCGTTTGTATGTATCGCTAGTATTGTTCTTTCCGGTGCCTGGACATCGGTTGTTTATGTGACCATGTGTGTGGAACTGCTTGTTTGCCTTTACCGTGACGAGTCGGTTGCAGTCAGCGCATATTTGTCTGCGGCTTCGGTTGATTTCAGTTTTGCAGTTGTCACATATGAAATCGATGTTGGGGGCTGCTTCTTTGCTCACTCCTACACAATCACTGTGTAACCATAGGTCACAGTTGTCGCATTGTATCCAGCCCACGTCACCTGATGGTCGTGAGCAGCCTTCCGAGGCACAGAAGGCAGATGTTGTGTCACTAGTATCAGTCGAATGATTATCGGGGCCACCACGGCGGCTCCGCGTACGTACCATTGGTCTGAAACTATTTAATAAGTTTATCACAACAATTAGGCTAACTTGTATACTATATTATCTCGTGTCGAGTTGCGTGTTCTTATTGAAGAAACGTAACCCGTATCGATTTTAATTTAAAAAAAGGACTTAAACACTTGTCATCTTCTTTTATCATTATCACTTCCATATCTAAAAAATTCCAAGAATTTTGACTGGAATACATGATGAAGGGACTCATGACTGTAACCTCGGTTACTATGATACTTTTGACCTTCTGATTACCAAAAAAAAATTTGATTACAATTGCTCTGTTTAGGGAACTGAATGTGTTCTCTGTGTCTGTGAAAAAAAAACAATGTCTTTTTCTGTTTTTTCGGACTCATTAATTAGGCTGTGTAATTACGCTTGCGATAAGCAAGGGTATTGCAATCGGGTACTTGACTTTTCTCCCCGTAAATAACTTTTTTTCAATATCAGTAGGAATGACGACTGTTGTCATGCAGATTACTGTCATGCTAAATTTCTTGATATTTTTACTAAAGCTTCCATCCTTGGGGTAGTAATTAGAGGGAATTTCGTTTCAGGTAATAGCTTTTTAAAAGGCAGATGTTGTGTCACTAGTATCAGTCAAATATATTAAATTCTTGAAAAAAAAATTCTTAAGATTTTTGTAGTTTTTGTCGGCTTATTTTTTTCGTTTTTTGTTTACAAGCAGTTTTTATTATCTGCTACGTTTTTATTGGCCTATTTTCCAAAGCATTGGATTTTTATTGATTACCTTAATTGCGTTTTTACTGTAATTGAAAGTTTTGTAAATTTATTGAAAGGTTTTTAAATGATTTTGGTTGATGTTATCAGCTCCGTCAAATTATATTGCGTACTTTCGAGATCAAAATATATTGTTGCGCTTTTTTGTGTTCCTGTACGGATGATTCGTGAAAATTATAGTTTTCTAGCTTTAAATTTTTTTATGACAACAATTTTGTTTCCGGCGCAAATTTTTGTCTTCATTCTGTTCTCGTTACCAATCTTTTCTTTATTTACCCTTGCGATTACCACGCGGCCGAACCCTATTTTTTCATTTTATATGCAATTGAAAAAAAATTAGGTTAAATTTGAATTGTCGGTTTTTCGTTTGTCTGCTCAAATTTTGTCGGCTAAGTTGCCACATCACGGATTTTGCTTGCACTGTAAGCAAACTTCATTGCTGTTTCAAATGCAATTGTCGTTCATTCTATTCTTAGGGGGACTTGAAAGATTTTCAAAAGTTTTTCTAAATAAAATCGTTTTTTTTTTGCTCAGCTGGTGTCTGCTTGAAGATGGTCGGCTTCAGTTGGAGTCTGATCATAGATTGTCAGCTTTGTTTCCACTCTGTAAGATTTGTTCGGTTACTAATTTGATATTCAAATGTCTGGTCAGTTTTCACTCGAATAAACCGCTCTCTAGACCTAGTTTTTCACTTTTTCGTTTTTTTTCGACTCTTTTTTTTTTTTAGGTTTGTGATGCATCGCAAGTGGTGCCAAGCTTCGCTTTGCTTTTGTGTAGGAAGTTTTGGATAGGTTTTTGTTTTCAGTTATATGCTTTGCTTGACGATTTTGCCAATGATTAGCTTTAAAAACGTTTCAATCCCTGTTGATTTTACCGAGAGGGGGCAGCAAAAATTCTGATGGCTATTCTGGAGTAATTTGGCTATTTTTTTAAAATCAAATAGGGGATGTTATCAGATTGAAGCGTGTGTTAATCTTTTTACTACCCGCACGCGTCCAGACAAGATGGTTCATGCGTTTTTACAGCAGATTTCCTCCATTTTCACGCGTGAAACAGCCAGATTTAATTATCTATCTTTACCACTCGCTAGTGCTTGAATTCTCACCCCTCCAATATCTGCCCTCAGTCTTCGTTTCAGTCCGCGCGAACTTCAAGTTGCTTGCCAATACAGGTTGGACCTACCTGTCTTCAACTACATACGAAAATGCATGAAGTGTACATTGGGGGAACTGGACTTTCTCAGAAATCACGCAGTGAGTTGCCCTGGAGAGGGAGACCGTATTGCCTGGACCAAGTATGAAAAGGAGTTTTTGTGCTTCTATCTAACTTGTGCTTCTATCTAACTAAACGAGGTTCAAGATCTTGCTCGTATGATCCAAAAGTTTCGTGAAAATTTGCTACTGATATTCTATTCTAATATTTCAGAGAAATTAAATGTGCGACTGAATTGTGGCGGTTTTCATCTTCCTGAGCAATTCCTTGACACTTTCCTCGTCCTTGGTCTACCACCCCTTGTGTTTTTTGATAATCCTCTTCCTCACATTTTGTCGCTACTCTTGTAGTTTTTATGGATACTTCAAATCTTCTTTGTGGAAATCCTTGTGTAAACGATGGGTGCAGTGAAGTCGCAACATGTAATGAAACATGTATCCTTGATTTATCAACTTCGTCCACGACTGCTAACGATAATGCCTCTTGCGTAGATGAGACTACCACACACTTTTTAACGCAAAATTTTGTCTTGGTTCCTAGCAGTGCAATAATTCCGGCACCACCACAGCCTCCACAAGGTAGAAAAGTGCAAAGAAATCCGTGTGGAAGCCAGAGCAGCGAATTTCAGAAATCTCTGCTGAATCCAGACGTACTACCGAAAAAGTATCAGCCTATATTGCCTGCTAAAGTGCCGAAGAATCCTTCTCAAGTGCACCTTTCGCAATCTTCAAATCTATACCGAATTGATCGCAACAATTTGTGCCGCCCGTTTCAGACTATAGCAGCGAAACCAAAGAAGCCAACAGTTACAAAAATTGCGCCAGCGCCTCTTAAACCACCTCCAATTGTACCCAACATTCAGAGCCATCTAAACAACTCACAGCCACATACAATTGTTTTTTGTCCTGTTAGTCAGCAAAGTGGACTAAATTTGAAACTGACACCTTACAAACCTATTCTACCGGCCCCTTCGAAGCAAAATCAGTTTTCGCGTTCACCTATTCCCATCCCAACAACTTCAAATCAGAGGTTCGTGCAATTTGACAGCTCATCGAAGCAGGCAATTAGTAGTAACCCAAAGGCTCAGAGTCAACCAATTAAAATGGAATCCGATCCAAAACCTTTAAATACGAGACCAACGAGCATTGTGCACCCGTTCAATACTTCTAAAAAACCTACGCCAATCAAATCAAAACTTCCAAAAACAAACGATCCCCAAAAGTCGCCGTCTTCGTCAATAGTTATTCCCAGCTTCGCAGTCGCGCCGTTTGTAGACCCCATGGCAAAGCAACCTGATCATGAAGACACGCATCGATATGAAAGCACGTTGCAGTCAAGTGCGAAAGTGTTGGAAACCATAGACACTGCAATGAAACAGGAGGCGGGGTCTCCTGGCCACGCTTTGGTTACACAAAGTTCAAAGCGAGAGATATCAGTGGAATCATCAGAGTCAGGAGATTATAAATTAACTATCGACGAAACTATCGAAGAGATAGAAAAAAATTCAAGCTGCATAATTGCGGCGGAGCCTTCAATTAAAACTAAAGTTGTTCACGTGCCACATAGTGATGAAAAAGAAAGCAAAAACAGAAAGTTAGCCATTGTTGGTCCTACTGTTCTAAAGCATTATCTCAATGGGATTTGGATAGAAGAAACCGTAACTGACTCGAATCAGTCAAAAAGCAAAGCTGAACGTGCAGATAAAGAAGACAAAGCTTCAAGGAAACGACCACATACAAACGATGACCAAAATGTCTCATCTACTTCTAAGAAAAAGAAACAGAGAAAAAGTAGCGATTATGTACCGGAAACAAAAATAAAAACACCACTAAAGAAGTCGTTTGCCGAAAAACCCCAAGTTGAAGTACAGAAGTCAAATCCAATTCATCAAAATCTGAGTCTGGATATTCCAGGATCCACAATTTTAAATGAAGTTGAACGGGTATCCAACGCATCTTCGCTGCTGCAGACATCCAGTTCCACCAGTAGTGGAGTATACAGTGCCTCGGAGTCATCTGCAAGCGGAAGTCACCTCCAAAATTGCGACTCCATTGGACAATCAAGTGGACTTGTGTCACCCGAAAGTGTCGAAAAAGCCAATTCCGCGACATCCAGTGACCTTATTGTGCGCCAACCACCCCCTATATCACCTATCAGAGCGCCATGTGATAAACCTATAATGCAGTGGTCTACATCAGATGTTTACAACTTCGTCAGATCAGTTCCTGCCGGCAGTGAATACGCTGACCAGTTCAAGAGCCAAGACATCGACGGTCAAGCGCTCTCGATGCTAAAAGAAGTCCACTTAATGAGTGCAATGAAAATGAAGCTAGGACCGGCTTTGAAAATATGTTCCAGCATACGTAAACTGAAAGAGCAAGGCTTCTGATTTAAACTATTTCTCGTGCATTTATTGAAGCTCTTTCCATGATAGATTTTATTACTCTCCAATTTGAAGTATTTTGGCCCCCTGTGTCTCGATGGGTGTCCATAGTTCAATGATCTGAGCTTAAGTCATACTTATTCATACTGCATATACTTCTAACTTTCAATGATATGCACTGGTGGAGAGGAGAGGAGAGTGACCTTTTTATGTTGCTTCTATAGTTTAGATAGGCTTGATCGATGTTTTTTATTTCGGTTGATTTTAGAAAAATTATGTAAAATATAATTTTGTTCATTTTCAAATTGCAAGCATTTATATCAAAAATTTATTTGCAAATTATTACTTGAAGCTAATTTAATCAAAATTATGATTTCTTTTATGCAAGTCTAGTCAATAAATTATTTGCATAAAACCTTTCGTTTTGTCTATTTGAAGCAAGGCATGGTTGTTCAGTGTCAATGAACGCAGTTAGGGTCTAGAACAACTAGCCGAAGGGACTTCAGGCCAAAATTTTAACTTAACAAGCATTTCAAAACGCTAAGTGTTAGTTTTTACTCAAGCGAGCTCGTGAGCTTTGTGATGCATAACGAATATCTTTATTTTTCCAACCCAAATTGCAATTCAAAGTAGTAATTTTGAAGTCAGATTTGCTGCATAGTAGTTGCAGTTTAATAGCATGTGTTCTCAACATTATGATTGGCTAGTGTTTGTTTCTGTGAGCTTCAGTAGCACAGTTGTGTAGTGCGGATGGTTTTAATGTTTGTGTGTGCGAGGGCAAGTTTGGTTCTCATAGAGGGCAATTGTTTTTCAAAAATCATTATCTTGTTTTTTTTCAACACTGTTAAAGCTACTTCACTGCCTTATTTTGCGAAGTGCGGCTTCGCTTGTGTTAAAATAAAAACAATTTTTGTGCATAACAAGAATAGCCAGTTGTTGAACAAGAAGCAGAGCTAATTTAGATTCGCCTAATTTTTTTGCCTATTTTTGGCGTTGCATGAGAAGTTCAAGACGAAATCTTTTAGCTTAAATGGGGGACTATCTACTTTACGGGATAATCGATTTTTTTGCAGATTTTTTTTTCATTAGAGGAAGCGCTGTGTGAAGCTTCTAAAACTACTTTTCCTGGTGGTTTTTCCTAGAAATCAAACAAATGCTCAAAATATATGAAATAGTCAATAAATAGTAAAGAAAAGGCATGAAATGGAGAAATTATGCAAAAAAAATTTATATTTTGTATTTTCGTAATTTATGTTCTCCAGTTAGAACAGCGGAAGTAGAACGAAAAACTAAAATAGCTTTTTCGAGTATTGACTATGTTTTCTCTTATTGATTTAGTTTTCAGGAAAAATGTTTGAATTATTTGAAACGTTTTTTTTCCTTTGAAACTCGAAAGTGGAAAATTGTGCTAACATTTTTGTCACCGGTTTTTGAGATTTTTACCACTTTGTGCTAGCTATGTTTTTGATACTCAGTTAAACAATCTCCATAACGGGCGTTAATTAGATCTCAATATAGGCGTCTGAAATATATTGCAACCAAGTGCTTGATTGTGTTTCATTACGAATTTTTCTTAAAATATAGTAATTCGGGAAATGGTGTTTAAATTTGGGAAATGGTAAATGAAACTGGCTTCATAGCTCGACAGTTATGCCTGATTGACGTAGAGGTAATGTACAGGTAGATAATATTGATTTTTAAAGCTAAATAGTTATCATTCTTATTCAAAGTTAATGAACCAAGTTAAATTGCACTAGGTATAGATTTTAAAGCTTATTAAGGCTGCTCGTATCAGTACGAAGCCCTTAATTTTCCGACTGACTTTTGAGTTCTATGGAGCAGTAATAACATAAAAATTCACTGTAATAAAAAAATGATTTTTTTTTAATTTGAGATTTTTTGGTGAAAATCATCCCCCCACACGCCATATAGAGTACAAAGTGATAGGTTTCGCTCATAGTAACATATCAATTACGGCAAATAGCCTGCTTCAACCAATTTGGAATGATTTCTAAGTGGGATTAAATCTCCGCTTACGCATGAATAGCGCAAAATGTATCGCGTTAATTGTCCCAAAATGGCAATGTTTAAACCCCCATATTTTTATGAAAAATGATCGCAGGTTAAATATCTTTTCAAATTTAGGCTCTGCGAAAGATTACCTTTTGAATGATATAAAGAAATTTTGTCAAAAAGGGCTAGCTAAAAAGTCGAAGAAAAAACCCACCCGAGCACAAATATTCCGTTACGAAAGTCGGAAAAATAATTTTTGTTCTTATTTAGTGTTTGCAAATGAACACACTCTTCAGTTTCCAAAAATAATCTATGAATACAAAAGTTAACAAGACTGCTCGAATCAGGATGAAGCCCTGAATGTTCCGACTGCATTTTAAGATTTATGGAGCAGTAATAACATTAAAAAATTCAATGAAATAAAACAAAATGAAAATATTTTTCTTCTAAAATTTGAAATTTTTCATGAAAATCATCGCCCCACACGCCATATAAAGTACCAAAGGATAGATTTCGCTCCTTGTAACAAACCATTTATGGCAAATAAGCTTCTTTTAACCAGTTTGGAACGGTTTCTAAGACGGATTAACTCTCCGCTTACGCGTTAATAGCGCGAAATATATCGCGCGTTAATTGTCCCAAATTGGCCAAAATGGCAATCTTTAAACCCCCGTAACTTAACGAAAAATGATCACAGGTAAAATATCTTTTTAAATTTGAGCTCAGGATAACAATACCTTTCGAATGATATAAAAAAAATTCCGTCAAAACTGGCTAGTTAAAAAGTCGAAATTTGTCTGAAGAAAAAAAAACCCACCCCGAGCACAAATATTCCGTTACTTTCGTAACGAAAGTCGGAACAATAAAGAACAAGACTGCTCGTGTAAAGTTTGAAAAGATACATTTCGCATATAGCAAAGTATTAAATAGACCAAAGAGCATGCCTCAATTCAATTTAGAAAAATTTCAAATACGGATTAAATCTCCTCTTACGCGTAAATAGCACGAAATATATCGCGCGTTAATTGTCCTATATTGGCAACCCCCTAACTTTACGAAAAATGATCACAGGTGAAATATCTTTTTTCAAAACTAGCGTCAGCTGTAGTGTGTAGTGTGTTATTACGAACCTTCTTTTTTTCTAGCCTGACTTTTAATCTCAAGGTCGCTGGTTCCAATCTCAGATGTAGCCGAATTTTGGCTAATTCGAGACGTTTTATATTTTTTCTTATTGCATTTTATAAAGCTGCTTTTTGTGGTGTTCTCGTTAGTGTTTGCGCAGCGAATCTTCGTCTCTGTGTCAAATTGAGCTCAAGATAGCAGTACCTTTCGAATGATGTTTAAAAAATTTTCTTCAAAAATTGCAGGATAAAAAGTCGAAAGAGAAAAAAACCACCCCGAGCACAAATTTCCGTCAATCACCCCGAAAGTCCAAACAAAAACAATTACAATTCGTAATTGGTTTGAACGTAGAATTGGTGCAAAACAGGCTTACTGCTACGGTCTACTTATCAATTTTAGATTACGCATGTTTTGCATGGTCATATGCCGCTTGTAATAGGTCCTAACTTAACTTCAAACTGTTCAATCGCTGTTCTCCGCATTGAAGCGGCATGCTGGCAGATGAGCGCTTCAGAACATGTTCATTCAGAATATAAACTTTTAAATGTGTCGAACTACCACCACTACTCAGTTTAACCTCAAAAACCCTGCTTTTCTACCAACGCCCTAGACCTCCCCGGAAAACTTGCTCAACTCTACTGGAGTTCTACAGTCCCGAAATAGAAATTATCATCCCCGACACAACTACTTATACTTAAATAAGTTGTAATGAACTAATTTCCTCTGTATGGAAGAAAGTCAATTTTAATGCAACTCTATAAAAAAGCGTTGAGCTGGCAATTGCAGATGCGCCACGCTTTGAGTTATTCGTCTCAGATCTAATGCCCCTTTCTGGAGAATCCCTTCCCCGCGCCATTAGAAGAGCCCTTTTTCCTGTTATGGTCTGGGAACAGTCTCTTTCTTATTCTTAATACCTGCTTGAACCCAATAGATATCAACAGCTACACAAGCTGCTCCAACAATCCTGCCATCTTCCACATCTTACTTTAAACTTTTTCAACTGTTTTCAGAAATCCTCATTTTTATCTTGGCCCTAATAGACCTGTGGCTTCGAATGGTAGTCGCGAAGATTCTAGATTTTAGCTTGAGCATGTCAAACGCAGCCCTTGGGGAGAAAAATAACAACATCATCAAGAACACTCTTTTTCTAATTAACTAATGTACAGTCAAGTGATCAGTCACGAATCCCGTAGTCATCGAGATCCTTGGTCCAGCAGAACCAATGAATGGTTTGCTTGTTGACTTACTTGATAATCAAATCTTCTACAATCAACAAGTTTTGTGTCTTTGGAGTTAATCATCTGCTTGTGAAAACAAATGTCAGCGAACTAGAAAATTTCGGCTATTTTTTGTGGTCTCAGTGAACACACTACAGAATATTCTTGAGACTAAGTTTTTAAAAAGCTTTTGTTAATTCTATGCTGCAAGTAAGTTATTCAATAATTTTGACGGGAGTGCTTGGTTAGACTATTTTCGGAAAAGCGTCAAGTTTTCCTTTGTGTATTATACAAATGATTCCTGCGTGCCTGTAGAATTGGTCAATTGAGCAATTCCGAAACACAAAATGTGTTAAAGAATAGATCGTTGCTCTCGAGAGATGTAGTATAGATAAGGAAAGGAAACTTATTGATATACATGCAGTTTCAGGCAAAAATTTTTTCGGGCCCAAATAACCTAAGTAGAAATTTCATCGCTCATTAATCTCATCGCTCCTAGAGCCTGCTTGTTTTCGATAACAACAAATGTATGCTTGAAGCAACCCAGATGCCGGAAGTCATCAAGGTAATTTACCTGCTCCTGAATTTTTTTTATTTTTCAGATTCCATATTAACCGATTTACGGTTGGCGACTAATCTTTTGAGCCATGGCAGAAATAGCAGCAGCAGGAATGCGCAAGCAGTTTGGAATAAAAGATCCGGTCGAACTCAAGAAAGCACCTACAGCTGCTGACTTAGTTAAAGCAGCGGCACAGGATCCGTTCGTGCAACAGATAGCTTTGCACTTTGCTCTTTTTTCTGCTGCTGTATTCTTCTCTCACAAGATAGCACCCACTATGTTCGACTACTCGCATCTATTGGAAGCCTCGGATGTGTAATCAATTGACCATAATTATCGTGTCCTTATTTGTATAACTCTAAACTAAATCTTAAACTGATAAGTTGAATGCTCTTCTCGCTTTATAATTGATGACTGATCAATTCATTTTTGAGTTGATGTTTTAACTCAGATGTGTCTGTATCTCCAGGTTTAGTAGTTAAAATCTTTGCTCGTGCAAGCAATACTTAAAATTCTGGTAGATCCTTATCAGTCTCTTACATCAAATCAAAATTCCGGATAAAAACCCTCGAAATGCAAAACATTTCTTTTAAGGCAACTTAGTTTGTTCGAACCTTTGATGCTCATAATTTTAAACGGCTTGAACTTTAAAATTGTGAAGGTAAGAACTGATTTTTTTTTCATTGGACTCAAAATTATCGTCTGTTTTGTTTTAAGTTAATCTTTTTCATTGGGGTATTATTACGCTTGCGTTAACAAAGCATTATTAAATCAGAGCATATATTTTTACAGGCTGACACTTGTCTAACAATCCTTTTCTTCCATTGTCAACACTAAAAAACGTCTGCAAAGTATATCTTTTGAGCATAATTAAATTTAAATACTCATTCTTTATGAATGGAAGTGTGGAAAAACGAATTGATTTTCACTTAGATAGTTCTTTATAATTTTTTATGATTAAGTTTGAAATGCACTAATAACTACAGTTGTGCATTTATACAATTTAATGCATTAATGGATGAACTTAGGTGTATATGCACTTTTTTAGTTAAATTAAAGTTAGTTTGCTAAAAGTTAGGCAAATTGCGCTTTCCATTTACGAAAGCAGAAATGGCGCAAAATAAACGTTATCAATTGTTTTTGTTTTTTTTCTCATTCTATTGTCTTGGTATGTTTCTTTTTCAAAACAAGCTTTATTCTTTTTGATATATCTAGTTTTTCCGACATTTTCATTTTTTGTTGGTTTTAAGTCTTTTTTACTCTTGCGCTAAGCAAGGGTAGTGCAATCAGGGGCTCTTTTCCTCCCCTTCCCCCCAATTTTATGTTCTAACGAGTGGTTTTACCAGATTGAGTATGAACACCAGATATGTTTGTCATGGCCTAATTAGTCTGCATGTCAATTTTCATGACAATCGAAAAATGTGAACAGTAATTTTGATTATAAAAATTTGCAGGTTGGGGGAAAAGGAAAAAGAGCCCAATCGGGTACTAGATTTTTTCCCGTAAACAGCTTTGTCCACAGCATCTTCAATTCCACAGCATCTTTCATCTGACATGCTCATTTTCTTCAAAAATTCAAAAATACCATCACTTTGCTAGTAATTAGTTCAAGCCTGTTCAGGTTGTAAATATCTTTTCAAAAAAAATTCGCAATTTTTTCGATTTTCTGCTTTTGTCCTAATTCAGTCGGTTCAGTTTCCTTTTTTCAAGCGCCATTTTTTAACTGGTAGGGTTTTATTAGTTTAATTTTTAAAGCATGGGTTTTGTTCCAATATTAATGGTTTTTACTATAAAAGAAATTTCACAAATTTTTTAATGTACCATGTCTGATTTTGAGTTTTTTGCGTAATTTTGAGGGCTAACTATATCCTTTTGGGATTGTGTTTCAGTTTGGATGGGTCGTAAAAACTTTTAAATATAATGAAACTTTTTATGACAACAGTTTTGTTTTCGGCTCAGGTTTCGACTCAAAGTTTGTCGCCGTTGTTGCCGCTCGGTAAATGATTTCCATTTTTAAAGGTTTTGTTACGAACTTCATCTGATGCAATTTTGCAGTTTTTGTATCTGTAGTTTTCAACTTTTCTCTAGTTATTTTTGAAGTAATTTTTTTCCAACAAAATTTTTGTTGACTTCCGTCTTTTTTTTTCATTCACTATTATGTAGCCAAATGTTTTTTTGCATCGCAAGGGTTGTGAAATTCCGCGCCACCTTTGTGTGTTTTTTTTTCGGCTGAAAGGGTCTCTGCTTAGGTATTTTTGGCTTTGTTACCTTTCCGTAAGTTTTCTTCCGTTGCTGTAGTTTTCTTCCGTTGCTTTCTTCAAAATTTTGATAATCTATTCGGATTCGTGGTTTTCGTCCTAGTTTCTGTCGTTTTTTTTCCATTTTTTTGGAAGGCCAATTTTTATATTTGTTTTGGTTGTTTTTTGGCTGACTTTTTAACGTATTGGTTTTTTATTTGAACAATTTTTACTGTAATTGATAAATCAGAAGTATTATCCGCATGCGATTGTGTTTTCGGTAAAAACTTTAAAAAAAATTTTATGACAACAGTTGTTTTCGGCTCTACAGGGGTCGACCCAAAATTACTCGCATTTCTTGCCTCCCGGTAAATGATTGTGGAAGCGTTAGAGTCAGCTTAAAAAATTAGTTTTCCACAGCTTAAAATTAAATATTTTCTAACCTAAATAAGAGCTTTTCGTAAAAAAAAAAGATGTGCGACATGTTGCGATGGAGAGTTTCTCCCCACTTTCAGTGATCGAAATAAAAGAAAAATAATTGATTTTCGTTGTTAATAGGGTATCTCGACCTGCATACGTCTTTCACCATCAAACGGCAAAAGATTCCTGAATAACACTACAACTTTTCCTACAAACAAATGTGTTTTTACTACAGTTTTGTTCATTTCTTTGCAATTTCGAAATTTCATTTTGTCATATCTTATATTGCATACAATTGTGCGTGGTTTTAGTTTGGATTACATTTCTTTGTTTTTTTTTAAATTTCGAATTTTGTTTTTCTTCGTTTTTTAGATTTGAATGAGTTTGGTTTTAAGCTCCTCGCAATATAAAAAAATATATATTTAATTTATAGGCATTTAAAAAACTTCATACAATTAAGTCTGTTTGTTTATGTCTTTTGACAGAGTGATTGTCATAATCATTACATTGCGAGGAGCATAAGATCAAGCGTTTTTTATAGAGAACTTTTCATCGCGAGTAGAAATTGCAAATACTTGTTTGTCAGATGGAGTGGATTACACGGACAGGCACATCACAATTCAAAGTAGTCCATTTCGCCACCTTCTCTTGCACAGCCTCCTTGATGAGTCATTCTTCAGCTCAGTTAAAAGCGAGCTTCTCCAGCTGCGATTCCACCCCAAGGAATGTGATCTGTTCAAGTTAAAACAGACTCGGGACTTTGGAAAGTACCCCGAAGTTGACTGTTTAGACGAAGAAAGTGCAAGTTTGAAAAGGTACTGTTAGGTTTCAAAATAAGTCACTATTGCTTTGCCATGTTCTGTGCATCTACGCGTCCTGAAGAAAAATAGTTTCTATTGCGATGCAACAGCTTTCGGGTCGAGGCAAATTTTAGTAACAAAAGATAAAAAGCGATTATTCAACTCTATAGGTTAATTGTTGTGATAAACTTATTAAATAGTGACGTAAAATGGAAAAGATTGACCTGACCGATAGAGTTTCAACAGAAAAGATCAGCGTCCAATAATCGAACAATGCTATCCTACAGCTACGCTTTTAAGACCAGACGCCAATCCCTAAATCTTCTTCGAGACGAATGTGTGTCGGCTTAAGCTCAGATTTCCAATCAGTATCTGAATCATACAACAACCTAAATGATACTAAAGAATTCTTAATAAGGAAAGTATCAGAGAAGCATATCCCAAAAATTATTGAGAAATTGGAAACATCACAATCAGTTGTTTTCAAATATTTTATCAATCAACGACTGCAGGATATCAAAGAGTCTGTATCAAAAGAGACCATGGAATTAATTGAGCTGGAGACGAGGAAATGTTATTTGAAAAGTGTGTCAGAAGCAGAACTCCTGAAGGGATATAATAGGCGGGACAATGTTCGGATAATTCTTATACCAGATAAAAAGCGTGCAGGCGATAACGGACAGAGTAACTATGAAGACTACAACTAAAGCTTTTAAAAAAGTCTTGAATATAGCGTTAGTAATGTGTGCCCTGGTTTTATATTTAGATATCTCAATTTCTCAGGTTAGCTGGGAGACTTTTAGTTGCTCGGCTATGGATTGTGCGTTTCTCTTGGCGAGTATCTAAAGTAGAACTGCGAAAAAACTTGAATCAGTCTCACTCGATGAGCTCAGTTAGTTTTTGAGGACATGACGGCGCTGCGTCTGAAGTTTTTTAACCGTATAAAACAAAACTGCAGGATTCGTATCAATTTGGACAGAAGGTTTTTTTTTTCAAATTCAAGGATGGCCATTCAACGCATTGTGTAAGAGGACTGTACGAAGGATGAATAAAGATGCAATACTCATTCCTATCAATTTGAACAGAAGGGAGCTTTTTTTTCAAATTCAAGGATGGCTATTCAACGCATTGTGTAAGAGGACTGTACGAAGGAGGAGTAAAGCTGCAATACTCAATAAATCAAATCGAGAGCTGCTTTGTAAAGCAATTAGCAACTATTATCTAAACCATTTCATCGACAACACCCTAATTCATTGTCAAAAGCTGCTCTAATATTCCATTTGAATGAAGGGTTATTACGTAAACACCATGATGAGTTGGAAGAACTTGTGATTACCCTTGAGTCACCACCTGATTTTATTTGTCTAAGCGAAACGTGGCTACATGAATAAAACGACCAACACATGTCTAAAATAAAAAGTTTTCTTGATTTTGTTAGTGAGCCAAGAGCAAGGACCGGAAGAGGAGTGACGATACAATTGAATAAAGTAACTACAATCGAGGAGCGGCCACTATAATTTGAACAAAATTAAACAGTTTTGGTTAGGATTTATCAAGAATTCTTCGTGATAATGGTGTTTTACCATCCTCCAAAAACCGACAAGTTCTGCTTTGTAGATCAGTTTGAAAATGTACTTGACACAAAATCCGCTAAAATTTATCGGTTCATAGAATGTGGTTATTTTAATAGTGATATCCCAAAAATAACCAATGAAATCTCTTCAAAGTATTATGATTCTTAAGAAGTCAACAGCTTCAATTAGGTCATTGAACAACCAACTCGCATAAGAATTACATGTGAAACAATGTTTATGTAACAAGTTTATATACGCTTGAAAATCAAAATTTCTCTGAGTACTAGCCCTTTTCCTAGACCTTAGTACCACAACCTCGCAAATGCGATTTTCAAAGTCTTATTGTGCTACAAATTTTCTGAAATCATTATGCGCTGTTTATGGTATCCAAAACCAAGATACAAGTTTTCAACTGCCCCTGGTTGTCCAATCATATAGAAATCATAAAATGCTTGGTCAAAAAACAAAATTTGTGTTGGAGCAAAATTTTTTTGAATCTGCTTGGAATATGGAGTTTGAAATTGAGAAATTTTAAAAAAACGCAACTATAAAAAAAATCAAGTTGTATTGTTGACTGAAGGAAAGTATACAAATTATTAAATGATTTAAAGGGTAAAGCAAATACTTCTAGTAATACAAAGGTTTCGACAAATGGGAGTATTGGCGAATAGTTTAGCGACAAAGTAGCTATCGCAAATAAGGTCAATGGCTATTTTCTTCCATTGGCAGTAATTTAGATAATCAAATACCTCAGTTAGGATCCGATCAATTTTACTTTGAACCTCATTTTTGTATGCATTGAAGTTCAAATACTGAGCGTGAAATTGAAGTAATTTTTTCTGCGCTACAAAACAAAGTATCTTCTGCAATAGATGGAATAAGTTGAATGTCAGTAACTATCGGCCAAAATTACTTTCTGTAACCTGAAGTAAGCTACTCGAATGAAGAAGAAACAACCAAGGGTACAGCTACTTTGAAACGCACTCCTTCATTTATACAAACTTAATTTACTTAATTTAAAAAGCTTTTGACACACTGGATCACAAAATTTTGTTCAATAGGTTAGAAGTTCATGTGTGTGAAAAATAAGTTACTTGTAGCACCACAAACAAGTTGTCAAAAATGGTGAATTTTGAACATCGTTGCGAATTTCGAAATTTGGTCTCATATAGGGATCCACTTTGGGGCCTCTACTGTCCTTAGATATATCAAAGAATTTCCAAAGTCTGCAATTTTGACGATGTTTCACTATTAGCCGTCGACACAACCATAATTGGTCTAAACTGCTTAATTGAGAGCTTTCACGAAGGCTTAGAAGCTATAATGTAGAAGCTATTCTTAATTTTGAGTAATTTATGGACAAAACGCTCCCAAGCAGCTATTGTAAATTAAGAGCATTTCTTTGAAAGTTGCAGGGTCATTCAAATATCTAAGTGTATACGTAAATGCTTAATTCTAATTTAATTGTCACATTAATGTCATTCGGTCAAAGCTTAGAAAACAGTGTGGTATTAATTCGAAAAAGCATCCTTGTCTTCTTAAAGTCGTCATGATTGAATTTTATGACTCCAACTTCGAGCCCATATTCAAATTTGTGATCAAATATGTCTTTTTGTAGGCCCAAATGCAAGGGTTGTTCCGGAAAATGACAGATGTGAAGTTCCTTTATGTTTTAATTTGTTCAAACACATGTATATGGTTTTCAAAGCGTCTCCGGCGTTTTGAAAACCACACTGGTCTTGTTCGCTGCTGCTGAATGGGCTCAGTTGGGTGTCTAATGACCGTTTAACCCCCAATCAGTTCTACTGATATTAGAAATGCTTCAAGGGATGGGACACAGTTAGTAAATGCACCAACCGTCAAGTGAACAAGTTCAAGTTTTCTTTTTGAAACCATATAGGGGTGCCTACGACTAGCGAATTTCAAAAACTTTGGGTGATTGGCTGATTTTTTTTCTTACTGTTGCGACCATTTGAAAAATGGGGAGCAATTTGTATTCGGGTGTTTAAGTTTTTTTTGTTTTCCACGTAGAATCAGGAAAAAAAATCAGGGACCACAAATTATTATTGAAATGGGTTGAGAAATATATTAAAGCCCTTCCAATCGTGATTCGAACGACTTCAAAAAAATTCGAAAATGTTTTTACAGTGTCGAGAAAATTCGATTTCAACTTTTTGACTTTTGGTCTAATTTCGAAATAGTACGGTGTGAGCGTTTACGCTTACAATAGCTTGTTAAGGCTTGCTTTAAGCCAAGAAAATTTAGTTGTACTCAAATGAAAGACGTTTTTTGGAGGTTTAAGAGCAATAGTGTAAACAAAGGTTAAAATTGCCAATAGTTTTGAAAAAGTTTTTAAATTTTCATCTACAAGAATTTTTGTTTTTCTAGTCATATTTGTTCAAAAACTGTTTTCCGAATGATTTTTTTACTATGGTTTTCAAATATGCATAAGTTTTTTTTCGTTCAAACCTTTTATCACACCATGCGAAAAAAAACGACTAATTTGGAAAAAAAATGTTTGTTTTTTTTCTAAGACCGTGGTCGGAATGTTCTGTGATAATTGCACAATAAGCAGCTATCCTTGGTCAACTTGGCTTTATACCGTCTACGGTTGAACAGTCGTTTCAAATATTTGTGCAGAATTTGGAGTTTATGTCATCAATTTGTCTAAACAGCCATATATCAGCTGCTCTGTTTATTCAACTTCGACGTTTTTTTCACAGATGTTTTCTATCATGTTTTCACATATATTTTTTCACTTTCTTTTGATAATGTTCAATTTCGTAGTTCATTCGATAAAAAGGAGCAATGCTTCGTCACCCAAATTGGTTTGTTAGCTGTCCCCTCACTGTTTTTGTTGCTGAATTAGCCTAATTGTTGTGATAAACTTATTAAATAGTTTCAGAGACGTAAAATGGAAAACACGTTAATTGGAAAACACGTAAAATGGAAAAAGCGTTGAGCGTCCAAGAATCGAGCAATGCTATTCCACAGCTACGATTTCAAGACCAGACGCAGATCCCTAAATCTTCTTCAAAACGATCGTTTGTATCTTTCAGTTCAGATTTGCAATCAGTATCTTAAGCAAACATCAGTCTGAACGAGACTGTAGAATCAACCATAAAGAAAGTATTAAAGGATCAAATTAGAAAAATAGGAAACATCACTAACAGCTATTTTCAAATCTTAATCAATCAAGGACTGCAGGATATTAAAGAGTCTGTGTTAAAGGAGACTATGGAAACAATAGAGATGGAGACGAGAAAATGTAAGTTGAAAAGTTTATCAGAACTTCTAGAAGGATATAGTAGGCGGGACAATGTGCGGATAATTGGATTAAAGGAAGTGAAGAGAACAGGTGATAACGGTCAAACGATTTTTGAAGACTACAATCAAAGCGTTGAAGTCTTGAGTGTAGCTAGTGCAATGGGTGCGCTGGTTGAAAAATCAGATGTCTCAATTGCTCATAGGTTACCTGGGAGAAATTTGAATGCTCGACCAATGATTGCGCGCTTCTGAAGGCGAGTATCAAAAGTGGAACTTCTGGCGAAAAAAAGGAATTTAAACCAATCTCAATCGATGAGCTCAGTCCCGCGGCTCAAGTTTTTCAACCTTATGAAACAAGACGGACGGTTCGAATCTAGTTAGACAAAAGAAGGGAGTATTTTTTCAAATTCAAGGATGACAATTCAACGCATTGTGTACGAGGACTCTATGACGGAGGAATGAAGCTGCAATTTTCAATGAGTCAAATAGAAAGCTGCTTCGTAAAACAACAGCAACCATTATCAACACCATTCACTTGCCAAAACCCTAATTCATTTTTAAAAGTTGTTAAATTTTCCACGTGAATATACAATTGTTACGTAAACACCATGATGAATTGGAAGCACTTGTAAGTTCCCTTGAGTCACCACCTGATATTATTTGCCTAAGCGAAACATGGTTACATGAATATGACGTTAAACACAGCTACAAGTTAAAAGGTTACCATGAGGTAATTAGTAAGCCAAGAGCAAGTACTGGAGAAGGGGTGATGATACAATTGAAAGAAATGTAACTTCATGCGGAGAGCTACCATCGGAACTTGAGGAAAGTTTAACAATTTTGGTTAGGATTAACCAGGAATTCTTCTTGATAATGTTGGTGTACAACCCTCCCAAAACCGACAAATTTCGCTTTATAGAACAGTTTGAAAATGTTCTTGACACAATTTCTGACAAAAGTTATCGGTTCATAATATGCGGTGATTTTAATATTGATAACCTAAAATTAACAACCTCTCTTCAAAGTATATTGATTCTATTGACGGTAAGAGCTTCCATCAGGTGATTAAACATTCAACTCGAAATGGAAATACATGCGATACTCTTCTGGACAACATGATAGTGAAAGATGTTAATATAAAACTGCTTATACGCTTGAAGATCAAACCTTCTCTGACCACTTGTCCATTATTCTAGAGCTGATTACCACAACCTCGCAAATGCAATCTTCAAATTCTTATCGCGATACAAGTTTTTTAAAATCCAAAACTCGAATAGAAAACTTCAATTTCGCTTTCATGCATGATTTCCAGAAAATTAAATTGTTCGAAAACTTATCCCCAGTTAATGGCTTGTTTGAAGATTTTCAATCTAAATACGATTTCATATAAAATAGATATGCGCCGCTTAGAATATCAAAAACCAAGAAACGAAACATTGACTGCCCCTGATGTGCAATCATATGAAAACTTAATATCTAAGCGTAACATACATCATAAAGCTTGGTCAAAAAACAAAAATAACATTAGAGCAAGATTTCTTTTTGAATCTGCCAGTAGTAAAGTTGAAATTGAAATTAAAAACTGTACAAAAGTTTTACTACAATAAGTTCAAAAATTGTATTGGTGACTCAAAGAAAGTATACAAATTACTAAACGATTTAACGGGTATAACAAATATATCAAGTAGAACAATAGTTTCGGTAAATGGAAATAGCGGCGACGTTGTTAGCTACAAACTAGCTATCGCAAATGAGTTCAATGATTTCTTTCCTTCTATTGGCATTCATATAGCTAATCAAATACCCAATTTAGAATCCGATTAACTTTATTCAGAACCTCGTTTTTGCATGCGTTTAAAATCAATCACTGAATATGAAATTGAAACTGAAGGCATTCTTTCAGCGCTACAAATCAAATTATTTTCTGGAATAGATGGATTTAGTAATCTAATTGCCAAAGCTATATCATTCGCAATTTTTCCCTTCCTGAAAAAACGTATTGAACTATCCTTTAAATCAGGATGTTTTCCTACCGCTCTGACTCAAGCGTAAGTATATCCTTTATACAAAGCAGGATTGAAATTGGATGTCAGTAACTATCGACCAATATCACTTCTTGTAACCTGGAGTAAGGTATTTGAACGTGCAATGTACAGCCGAGTGTACAGCTATCTTGAAACAAACTCACTAATTTATATCAAACAGTTTGGTTTCCGAAAAAAAAACAGGACTATTGATGCTGTTGCCAAAGTAACAGAGAAATAACGCTTAGATAAAACTAAATCACCCAAGGGAACAGTTTTTCTTGATGTAAAAAAAAGCTTTTGACACACTGGATCACGAGATTCTTTTTCATAAGTTAGAAATGTATGGTGTCAGTGGAAAAAATTTACTTTGGTTTAAAAGTTACTTGAAGCGCCGCAAACAACTTGTCCAAATTGGTGAAACGCGATCAACGTGGCGAAATCTGGAATGTGGTGTCCCACAGGGATCCATTCTGCTGTTTCTTATATATATAAACGACCTCCCAAAAGTCTGTAAATTTAGCGAAGTTTTTCTATTTGCCGATGACACAAACATCACTCGACTAAACTGCTCGGTTCAGAGCTTCAATCAAGATTTAGAAGCTATAAATAAGTTATTTTCGAATAAATTATTTCTAAATATGGACAAAACGGTACAAGTTAGTGTATCTCTTAAGAGGGCTTCCAACCAGCAATTGTTTAATAATAGCATACCTTTGAAAATTGAAGGGTCATGCAAATATCTTGGTGTTTATGTAGATGCTAAATTATCATTTAATTCTCACATTAATTTCAAACGATCCAAGCTTAGAAAACAATGTGGCATTGTTTCGAAAATGCGTCATTATGTTCCCAAAACTGTTATGATTGATTATTATGGCTCTAATTTTAAGCCCATTTTGCAATATAGAAAATTTGTGTATGGTTGCACCTACACAAACGTTTTACCCCTTTACGTTTTACCCCTTTACTTGATCCAAAAGAAAATTATTTGATTGATTTGAAAATTATTTGAAAATTATTTTCCAAAAAAAAATATGAAAGTATTCGACAATTTGTTAATGATGAAACGTTTTTAACAGTTTGTTTTGCGATCAATTGCAGTACTGCACTCGGAAACTTTTCAAACGGGCTTTTTGTATTTGATAAACCGTCGTATATGACCAGAAGTTCAACTTTCAATCAAATAAAAATTCCTAATTTCAGAAGCAAAATTCAAAGAGCTTCAACTAGTTACAGGGGGGCTAAGCTCTTTAATATACTTAGACAAAATTCCTAAGTTCAGAATTTTTTTTGATCAAGTTTCCAATTCAGATATTCAACGCACAATGCCCACGAAATTCGTGATTTGTTTAAATTCAACATTGAAGAGCTAATCAAATTTGTTTTTTGTTGACATTTTTTTTGTATGCAAGGATAATGCCGAAGAATGACAGACGTGGAGTGCCTGCATGTTGCACTTTTTTTCTAAATATATTTGTATATGGTTTTCAATGCGTCTTCGCCGTTTTGAAAACCACACTTGGGCTTGTTCGCTGGTTACTGCCGCATGGGCAGTTGGATGTCTACTGACCGTTTAGCCCCCAATCAGTTCTACTGATGTTAGAGAGGATACAAGAGATGGGGGACACAGTTAGTAGAAGCAGTAACCGTGAAGTGAACAAGTTCAAGTTTTGTTTTTGAAACCGAATAGGGGTGCCTACGACTAGCGAGTTTCAGAAATTATGAGTGATGAATTTGAACTTATTTCTTATTTAATTTATTTTTATACCGACTACGATTGAACGATCATTTTAAACATTGATGCAGAGCTTGGACCTTATGTCATTAACCTGTCTAGATAATGCCTTAAATCTGCTGCTTTTTGTTTATTCAAATATGAGTATTTTTTTCCAGTATTTTCTTTTTTGTTTTCAGATTTCTTGATTTTTCCTTGTCTTTGAAGATCTCAAATTTCGTCTTTGATTTGATAAAACGGGCAGTGCTCTGTAACTCAATCAGTTCATTAACTGTCCCCTTATTGTTTCTGGTGCTTCATATTTAAATTCTCGTTGTATGCATATTTACCATTAACAATGAGAAATAAATTCTTTGTTTCTCTCTTTAATTTTCAGTTCGGTTTGCATATGTACTGGTAACACAGAGAAATAATTTCATCTTCTTACAGAAGTTCTTGTCGGAAATGTTTGTAAAATAGCTCGGACAATCAAATTGTATCATTTAGAATGTTTTTTTTTTTAAATCCGCCAGCTAAAAATAGGATAAAAAGGGGACATCGACTATTAGAGAATAAAAAGACAAATTCGTCTGATTTTAGACACAAGAAAAATCCTTATAGTTTCGTCTATTTGCTTAATTCTTTGTGAAACAGGTTTTTGGATCTTGTGAACAATGATCTTAAATCCTGGATCTGTTCTGTGTTCAACGTCAAGCTAAACGGCCTAGTGAGTGTGTCGGGGTCAATCTACAACCAAACGGACTACTTGCTGTGCCACGATGACAAACTGGAGGGCAGGAAGATAGCATTTATTTTCTACCTCGTCGACGAAGATTGGAGTGGTAACGAGGACGGTGGATGTCTCAGACTGTTCTCTAGTGACCACAATTTCGTTCCGTGTGGACTTCCCAGCAAGATAATAGCCCCTGTATCTAATACTTTCGTCATGTTCGAAGTTGTTCCCGGTAAGCAAATGATTACCCTTGCAATAAGCAAGGTTGCTGCAACCGGGCACTAGACTTTTTTTGGCAAAAAACTTCTTTGCAAATACGTGCCTGGGGTAAAAGTTAAGAGTTGCGATGTTGTTTATCGGCGCTGAATTTTTTTGGTAGATTTTCGGCGTTGAGTTTGGTCGCTTTTAATTATGTCAGCTTATTTTCCTTTTTTTGTTTTTTAACTTTTGTTGGGAATACATGAGAAAGATTGAACTCTAGCGAGAGTTTTTTTAAAATTCTAAATCGCGCTCTTAAGCCCTCCGCAAAAAGATAGGAAAAAATGAACATGAAAATATTGTTATTTTGATTGCGCGACCTGCTGTGTTTTTAACGCTTTCTATTATCGGTATATAGATTTTTTGGGTTAATTTGCTTAATAAAATGACTGAACCACTGAAAATTCCGGTTATTTCCTGAGACATTTTTATTCTATTTACAGAAACAAAGAGGATATTTCCACCCAAACTTACTGAGAAGATTGTTTTCTGTCTTTTTATGAAGATTTTGAAATAAAATAAAATTGAAATCAAAAGGCTGATTTATAAATGAATTAGCTTTATTTGACAGGGTTTCAAGAAATTGTGTATGTTTTTTGACCCAGTTTCTGAATTGATATTTTTGCATTCTTTGTGGATAATCCAAATTTCATAAAAAGTACATTATTCACGTTTTTTAACCGTTTTTATTCAGCTAACTTATTTGATTTTTTATTGCTCGAGCAAAATGGTTGGCTGGGCAGTTTATCATGGTTCCAGGTCCAGTTAATTCAATGATTTGTAAGACTGATCTTTAAATGCTCTTGAGTTTTTCTAAATTTATATTTAACCTATAGTGAATTTAAGATAGTGAGGTTTTGTTTGTATTTTAATTTTGAAAATATTACGTCCTGTATCTGTTCCACATATGCGTTTAGTAATATTAATTTAAATGCTGTCAAAATTTTTGGTTCAAAAATTGAATTTTTGGATTTTGAAACAATTTTTTTATCGCTGTCTTTTTCATCAGCAACAGTTTTCGTTTGTCTTCTTTTTATTTTCCTCGCAAAATCAGCTACCACAAATAATCATCGAAATGGGTCGAGTGATATACTAAATTGAAGCTCTTTCAGTCGTGATTCGAACTTAATAAAATTTTCAAAAAGTTTTCCCAGAATTGAGAACTGATTTAAAATTTTAGATTTTTTGTTTAACTTCGAGCTTCTTTATGCTTAGTTTAAGCCCTGAAAACTTAGTTTTTATGCAAGTAAATTTGTTTTTGTGGAGTTTTTTGCACCGTTTTTTTAATTTTTTTTTGTTTAAGTCATTTTTCTCAAACTGTTGTCGAAATTTGCGTATTTTACTATGACTGTTGAATATGCCTAAATTCTTGTTTAATGTCAGATCCTTCTATTAGACCACGCATAAAAAACATTCTGCGCTAATTGCACAGTTTTACAGTTAACCGACTATCCTTGTTTTTCTTTTCCGGATGCATCGTTATTGATTTTGTTCGCAAGTGACGCGAAAAAAAAACATACTGTCTCCTATGATAAATGGTCTCTTGGAAAATATTGTCGTCCAACAACCTTCTTCACCTCTCAAATGTAAATTTACTGAAAATAGTATGCCTCATTTCAAGAAGAAAGCTCAATGTAAATCATTAATTAAACCTATCATTTACCTAGGTTTGGACAAACGCGAGCTTCGCATTTTTTCCTGCAAACCTTTTTCTGGTGTCGTTTGTTTGCTCAAGTGTTTAATGGTATTTTAAAAATCAGGTTCGTACCACGATGTAAGTGAGGTGTTGACAAACCGCTCTCCCCGTCTGGCGATCTCAGGCTGGTTCCACTCGTCTGAGCCGTCAGCGAGAGACGACCATCTTCGAGCTCCCCTGCGTCTGGGCCACGACATGCAGCTGTGCGAAGATGACATTGATTTCTTCGTGAATTGTATCAACGAATGCTACACTGACCAGACCGACATTGACAGAATTGTACAGATTAGACAGGTGTTCGAAGACGAAAGTATCCTAGAACTAGACAAGTTCTTCAGCAATGAGTTCATTCAGAATTTGATGAGAAGTGAAGCGGATTTTAAGTGAGTAGTACAAATTTGAAGTGGAATAGAAATTGAAGCACGGGCATCTAAATTTTACTCCTAAAGATGAAATGATAAATGTTTTCGAAAAAGTTCCCGGGTGCCCCAATGATATGATTTTTGAGCACATTTCAGATTTCCAACAAGTCAGTGTCCCGTCTTCGAGAGATTCAAGACTCTCTGCTCAGATTCAGTTCTGTTTGCTTCTCTGAAGAGACTAGTCACTCATGAGATGATGTTTGCTCTTTTGTGTCAGCTCACTGGAGTGGAGATGCACCCGGAGTCGGCCTCTCTCCTCTCTTTCGAAGAAAGTCAACTCGGAAGTCACGCATCTGCAGAAAAGTTAGATATCTCTATTTTTGTCTGCAAATGTTCTGTAATCGAGCGTTAGACTTTGTGCATCAAATGATTTATCGTTGCTTACACAAATGTAGAGAAGGGAGAGCCTCAGTCTATTTTTGTGTATTATATTTTTGGAAGACATCTCTCCTCTCATTCGGAACTTTGTGAAGGTTAGCCATTATTCTAACCATTTCTCGGAGTGGGAAAGAACTATGGACTGGGGGGATTTTTGTATGCCGTTGTAGGTACATCGAAGACCGCTCAATTTGAACGATTCTGGTTTTGTATTAGTGAAAGAGATCACGCTAAAAGCCACCTGTAAACTTCTCGGAATAATTGATTACAAAAATGAAACTGATGTGAAGCTAGGTGCACACTCGCACAACTCGACACAGGATGGTTGCTTAACTTGAAGTCTAAACTAAATGGATTGACCTGAAAGTGGCGAACTCGTGATTAAGAGTAATGAACGTAGTGAGTACTCTTATATAGGTCTTGCTGATTTTTTTTTTCAGGAAAAAGTCATAAAATTTGTTCACGCTCAATTTTGATTTTTCGCGGTTTGATTTGTTATTTATTTTTAAGCTCAGTACATTTATTTTGTTGAAAAGAAGCAGACTCCACTATCGAACAGCACAATTGTAAAGGTCATGAAAAACGTGATTGACTTCTAATTTCGAAAATGAAAATTCATTATCAGATTTCCCAGCGAACTAAAAGTTTTACCTATTGATTCAAAGTTGGGTTAATTTTAACATAAAAGTGTCCATCATAAATTGTTTTACAATTGAAAGAGCTTTAAGGCCATTCAATTTTTTCTTCGAAATTCAAAAGTTTTTTTTTCAGTTTCCTTGCGTTCATTACTCTTTTCCAACTCAGTTGGCTATGTTATAGGCACTGTAACTGAAATCTGGGCACATATAATACGTATCATTTTTTCAAATGTCGCGGCAGACCGACAGACTTGATATCGTAGTGAATCATTATATCACATAGTACTCAGGAAAGAGATATCTAGCTCCCTTTGGAATTAATAAGCTTAGCGAAGATTGTTCTGGTCTCAAACCAGCGCAAAAAAAACTGCTCGAATTAATTACAGGCAGTCCAGCGTTGAAACGACGCCCATGTACCGCGCACCTCTGACATGCCCTCTAGCTCTCCGTCGCGATGTAAGGACAAAACTTATATGGTATCAGCTGATAGCCCTTTCAGCCATATTTGGTATTCAGGAAGGTTATGATGGAAAATATCCGGTCTAAATGTTGCATGCAATTCAAAATTTTTTTCAGCAGATTTCCGTTTGGAAAGTAGATGAGAAGTGAATGTACCTCAAAATCTAAGCTTTTGGAGATTATTAACAGACCACAGAAAATTCGGTTTTTAACCACAGAATTGATTTAGGAGGAGACCATTTACTTGCTCCCTGAAACCTGATGAGCCGAAAAAATGGAGTCATTTGAAATCTTAATTACCTTAAAATCAACCTTATAAAACAAGTTTCGAATGGAACGGGTAAAATGAACTAAATTCTTTGCCGCATTCCAGGAAATACCGCTGTGAGTTTGAACTGAGAAAAGTTGAGAGGAGCTCCTATTCAGTTTTGACTGATGATGCCGAAGTTATGAACAAAAATAGTAGCAATGGAACGGAGACTGAATTGCCAAACGGCGGATCTTTTGAAAACTTGCAGGAGAGTCAACAAAAAGTAGTTAACCTCGATTTTGGCTCTGGTTTAGACGAAGAAATAGACGTGTTTTCTCTCCATTTGCACGCTTTCTTTTTACCCAAAAACGGAGTCTGGGATGAAGATTGGGGTGGATTTATTGTGTACGTTGATGAGGAAGGACAAGAGATACAAAGATTAACACCTAAACATAACTGCCTCACTTTGGCGTATGTTGACAGCAAGACTAAATCGTTTCTGAAGTACTCGAACTGTTTGGGCGGAGATAACTTTTACTACCATTTGATGTGCAGATTTTATGTTGAACGATAATTAAACCTTTCTTCGTGGCCTCAGCTTTTCTTTTGGTTCCAGAAACAAGAAGTTGCAGATTTCTTGAATGGCTTGAAATTGAAATGGACACAAATGAATTGAAAATTAAATACAAATACCAAGTTAAACTTCACTTTATTTGGACTGCGTGTTTTTTGAAGTTTTTTGTGAAAAATTTAATGCTAATTCATGCTGATATATAGGTAGTTAGATTTTTAAGTGTAGAAGAACGGGTGATTTTCATTTATCTAGTTCTTGATTTTTTGTTTGAAAAATGTTCTAAAAAATTTTAATCAGTTTTTTCCGGTTTCCTTGTTCTCTTTTACACATTTCGAAAACTTTTTCGAAACATTTTTATTCAACAAAGGTTTGCCATAAATTTTTCAGTGCAAAAACTGAAACTCCGACAAAAAATATTCTAAATTAATTTTAGTTCGAAGGTCAGAATTATTTCAGAAATTTAAGGCATTGTCTGATAATTTTTTAAACAAACTATATCAAATAGTTTAACAAAAGCTGTTGAATCATTCTATAGCTTGTCTTTTTAAAAATGCTAGTTTTGATCTAGCACTCTTGATCTAGAGGTAACGACTATATCTGGGACGGCAAAAGTCTCAGGTACGGATCTAGTCAGGACTTTTTCAAATCAAATATTTAGTTTTTATGAAAATTGTCGGCACATTGCTTGTCTGCTGACGTTTTTTCGGCTTAGTTGTCACATCACGGATATTTTTTTCTGTTGCGAGCGATCTTCATTGTAATCGAAAGTGGTTTTGATTTATTTAAGTAATTTATTAATTTACTAACTCTGATTTTTTAATATCCTTTGTTTTTTTTTTATTGACAGCTTTATTAGGCCCAAAAACTTTCGACCTATGTTTTGTGCGCCACTAGAAGAGAAAATGTTTTCAGTATTATTTTGTTTTGCTAGATGGGGGAGCTTAAAATGTTTAAAGTGTGAAACTTTCAAAATTTTTGACTATTATTTTTAATTTTGCGCAACTAGAGTTTAATAGTTTTTCGGTCTAGTCGCCGCTCGATAAAATAAGTAATCTTAAACTTTTATTTAACGCCGGTGATTGGAAGAGTTCTCCCTGATTTAAAAATCATTGGAGACAAAAAATTTTAGTGTTTTTTCAGTTTTTTTTCTACCAAATGGTTTTCTTTTAATTTCTGCCAGCTAGCTTTCCTTGTGCTATTTGTGTTTTATCTTAAGTTTTGCCTTTGTGTCTTAATTTCAAATCATACGTTTTGTATCCCTCACACGCGCTGTCGAAATCATGAAGTTGAATATAGCAATAAGCAGAAAGAAGCGCCGAAAAAATTTGCTTGATCAAGACAAACTTTTAACGCCACTTACAGACCTTAACAACCAAGAGGTAAAAATGATTCCTTTATGACGATTTAACGATATTTTTTGAACCGCAATATATTTAGCTTTCCAAAAAGAACGAACGAGGCTGATTTGAAAAAAATTTAGCGACTATCATTGATTTTGAATAAAACTTAAATATGTTTTTTTTTGCCGTAATCCGGGGTAACGTTGCCAGGGCTTACATAAGTATATATGGTTCTCATAAGTATATAAATAACTCAGATATTTTGCGTAAATGACTTTAAAATACAATTTAAATGTTAAAATAATTATTGCGGTAGTGCAAGTACGGCTGCAGTGGCTTCAATATAACAAATAGCGGGACCGCTTTTTTAGCACATCAGTTTTTTCAGCATAAAAAGTGAGAAATAAGTCTTAAGGGAAACAAACGTCATAAAACTGATGTATAATTGATCGACAGTTGTGAAATATACGCTCCGTCTTCGGTCAAGCTTCCCTAATTAAGACAATTAATTCACGATTTCTCAGCAAAACAATAAACTTCAAAAATGGATAGTCTTAATTAGCGGCAAAACACATTTACGCTCACGATTATATTCTCGTACCGCGTGTAGGAGGAGTTAAGCAAGAGTTTGCTTCCTGTCAGTTACGCGTTTGAAGTTAGTGTTCTGAATGCTAATTGTTTTGAGTCTGCTAAAAATCCATTTGCTAAATTGCCTAGCACAGACTACTTCCAATACTTGGCCCACTACACAAATGAATTATTACCAGTGCTCGTTGCTTGAGGGTGAAGCAACATTACCCAGACCAGAAATATAACCAAAAAAGTTATATGTAATTCGTAAACAGAGGCACAAAAGCGGTTCGCCGTGATGAGCCGTGCAGCTCTTGTGTTGGTCCTTTCCACCGTAGATAAATGGTCTTAATCTTAATCTAACCATTCTCAAAAGTACTCAAACGATGAAAATTACCCATATTGAAGTGTTCGAATTATATTTCGACCAAATTCGATTGAACACGTGGATGTTGTTGGACCTAAAAATCGTAGAGGACAGTCCCCTATTCGAACAAAATTGTGAAACAGTCAAAAACCTGGTCGGAAAATTGTCGAATAATATTTCAAATTTTATTTGAAAACAAAATACTGCCAATCAAACATTTAATCTGTGACAAAAGTCCGAGAAATAATGATTTGCCTATAAAAGTAACTATATAACGAAGTTTTGGTGTACCAAAAAAGAAAGTTCTAATAAACGTGTTTTCTTTTAGTCGAGTCAGACGAATCATTATTAGGTAACAAATGAACGAAAATTTTTGCAGTCGTTTTGGTCGAAAGAAACACTGTGGCTCAATCCGGACGGATCACATCACGTTTGTGTTGAACACAATAGAACACATTTCATTTCAAGTTGAATCGATAAGAACAGCCACTTTGGCTCGAGTTGGTCGAAACATCACCCTTAGGTCGAACACAGTTGAACACATTTTTTGGTCGAGTCGGTCAAAACATTACCAAGTTGCATCGATTTGTTCGAAATATATCACGCTTGGGTTGAACACAATTAAAGACATTTTTTTTGGTTGAGTCAATCAAAACAGCCATTTTGGGTCGATTCGATCAAAAATTTCACTTTTGGGTCAAACCCAGGAAATCTAACTTTCATTTTGTTCGATTCGGTAAAAAATATAGCCAGTTTGGGTTTATTCAGACAGAAGAAACATATCACGCTTGGATCGAAAACAGTTGAGAACAATTTTCGTACCTTCGATTTGGTCGAAACTTTTTTATTCTTGGCTGAGTCGGTCAAAAAAAGCTATCTTTGGTCGAATAGGTCAAAACATACATAACTCAAACAGCTCATTCCTGGTACTCTTCACAAGGAAAGCAATGTGTATTATACAATATCTATTCTATTCTGACAAAGATCTATTAGTTTCTTTGAAAAAAAAAATCAAATTTAAAGGTGAAAAAGAGCCAAATTTTGATAAAGTTTGATAGAAAAAATGAAAAAAATCTACGTTCTGGTCTGATAAAACTTGCTAATTGCAATCAAATTACAGATAATTTCAAAAGAATACTTTCAGCAAAATCAGCAAACAATTTTCAGAAAAAAACCACTAATAATGAAGAAAAAAATGTGAGTTGAAGAACTTTGCAAGTTGCAAACAAAAACAGATATTTTTAGGTACATATCTGCGGTATATTTACCATAATACATTTTTTTTAAAGTTTGATCGATTGAAAAAAAAAATACGTAAAAACCTATGTTCTAATTTAAAAAATCTTAATAGCAATAAGTAAACAGATCATTTCAGATACAGACCTGAAAATTAGAACAAAAAGATTTAGAATAAAAGGGATAAAAAGAATAAAGAAAAAATTTATGTGCTCATTTGAACTAATTTTTTCATTTTAAGCAAAAAACAGATACTTGAAGAGATCTTTAAATTTTGGAGCAAAAAAAATTGAGGAAAATCAGAGCACGAATCATAAAGAAAAAATTTGATAAGACTTGCTACTTGAAACCAGACTTGTTAACGGGCCGCCATAATTGAGGCCCGGCCCGGCCCTGCCCGATATAATTCAAGTCGAGCCCGTTGGCGGCCCGATAAATAGGGAATTTATTAAATATCGGCCCGTTGGGGCCCGTTGCTGCTTTTTTGGTAAAAAACAAATTTGTTTCATAACAATTTTAATTACTTGTTTTACTTATTTATAAAGACCTATTTCGTGCTTCGTGTCACGTCGAATTTGTTTCTGCAGTGAATCGGCAGTGAACGTAGTAGTCATGTCGTTTAGCACACTGCAAGCTGTACAGTGCGCACTGAAACATAACATTGGTTAGTCAATAAAAGTAAGGCCCGTTGGGGCCCGTTGACAAAAGTGAAAACCTCGGCCCGGCCCGGCCCGTTGACAAGTATGCTTGAAACAACATTACACAAAATTTCAGATGCTTGCTTTCAGTAAAACTGGTGCAAAAGAATAATGAGAAAAAATATGATATGGTCTGATATAGCTTGCTAATTGTAACCAAAATACAAATTTTTTAAAATACCATCAAATCACTCGAAACAATAAGATTTGACGTTCAGATTTTGCTGCCTTTCGAACTATTTTTTCGGAATTGTCGAAACATGCCTACGTTGTGGCTGCAAAGTGTGCTTAAAGAAGATTGTGTGCACTACTTGTAATTCAAATTTTTTGTATCTGTCTTGACTTGACCTTCAACCGGAAGTTGACATACCAGCTGTCGAAATGCTCGAAAATAAAAAAAAACTGATTTCTCTGAAAATGTGGAAATTTGACAGAAATAAATAAAAGAGTTTTCAAAAAAAACCATTGTGAGAAGTAGAATTGAAAAAAAGTAGTTTTTCTCGAAACCTTTGTGGTTTCTCCGTGTAATTATTCTGAAAATATTTCAGATCACTAATAAAAAGGCGACTATTTTGAGTTCCACAAAATGAAAAGTTTTGAAGATTCGCAGTACTTTACATCTGAGCCTATTGACTTTTAGGTGAGTTTTTTCAAGAAAAGTGGTACACAGAAAGATTTCCAGTAAATCACTTAATTGCTTCTGTTAATCGCAAGTTCAAAGAGAGAAGTTATTTTTAAGAATTATAGTGGAATATTTTCGTTGAATTTTTTCGGATTATGGGCGGACACAAATTACTTTCAAATCAA